TGACTACTTCTATGGCTAGACTGTGGTATTGTTTGGTGCTGGGATATATTGTTGGTTATACCGTGCACAAATTGTTGAGGGAGTGCTATGACCTGCAGATTGAAGTCCTGTGAGCACATTGGTATGAGCGAGAAGACCGAGGTGGAGTTCAGCACTTCTATCCATCGATCGAGAGGTCTTATTGGAGGTGTTCAGTCAGGCATTTGGGGGCTTTCCGAGGAGGCATCATCGGGAGGTAATCGTTATTTTGTTTCCTATGTTGGGGATTGTACTAGGCATTTTTGGGTTGCAACCAAGTCCCGTTGGTATAAAGCCCTAGTAGTCCGCAACAGTTGGAGGAGGTGTATGGGCAGAAAGGTTACCAGTCATACTTGTTCTAGTAGGTGTCCTTTCTTGCATTGGTGCTGAGCTCACGGCAGTTGGAGACACTTCAGAGGGAAGGAGACAGTGGGGCGACATGATGAGATGGCGGATTTAGTGAGCCGTTCTTTTCTGGAGGAGAATCGGTATTGGTTGTCGAGCAGTGGATCTGGTATTCAGGCTTCGACAGGTTTGGGTCATCTTATGAGGTTGCCGACTACTGCGTGTAGAGTTGTTAGATCTGGTGGAGCTGTTTCAGATTTTGGTCGGCGTCGGATATTTGCCTACCCAGCACTTGGTCACATCGCTGATGTGAGATTGGATCCGATTGCGCATTTAGGATTCAGAGGCTCGTTCGGCTATCAGTGGGGAGCTTCTGAGTTTGGTCTGAGCAGGTTTGTCACTTTGGACTCTCGGCAGGTGGAGAGTATTGATCAGGTCAGAGGGATATCGCAGCGGGTGGAGGTTGATGCTACTCCACATTGGGTGAGGATTTCCTCACATACTCCAGGTCATTCTGCATTGGTTGGGATTCCAGCTGAGGGGGCACAGCGTGGGAGTCATTTATTTATGGGTGCAGATGATGAGGTAGTTGATTTGGATGCAGCTGATGGATATGTTTTGGATACGGCCATTGTTACATCTCAGGTGGAGGTGTTTGGATCGCTTCAGTTTGAGGTCGTTGATGATGCTATCAGCCGCAGGTTGGATTGAGGGCCTTTGGAGGCCCATAGGGTGAACTACGTGAAGGCTTGATTCCTTAGGCAAGAGGATACGTAGGCAGTCTTTATGATGCAGCCGATTTGGTGAGCGACATCGACATTTGGGGAGAGTGTTCGCACTCCCATTTGGGTCTCAGCAAGTGAGGCATTTGGTGTAGTCGGTGTAGGCTCAGTTGTTTGGTGAGTAGACACAGTTGGTTTGGGGTTGAGTGTTCGCACTCCCGTTTGGATCTCGACGTGTTGTGATTGGAGTCCGTTGTCATGAGTCCGTTGCCATGGCATACTGGGTGCAACAGTTGAGGTATTGGTTTGATCGGTGTCGGCTCAGTTTGGTAGAATCTTCGCCGAGGTGGAGATTTGAAGAGATAAGCTCAGGATTCATGTTGTCAGGGTGGCGGTCGACCGGCCCGGTCGACCGCATTCGTGCACAAGGCTTCCTGTGCGTCTGGAAGGAGATCGGTCGACCGGTGCGGTCGACCGACGGTTCTCTGGAGTTTGGGTTTTCTACTGAGAGCTGGTCGGTCGACCGGGCCGGTCGACCGGAATTGATCGCGGTCGACCGGAATTGATCGCGGTCGACCGGAATTGATCGCGGTCGACCGGAATTGATCGCGGTCGACCGGTCTGGTCGACCGACGCTGTTTTGGGCTGGGCTTTTAGGTTTTCGACCCGATTCGTTTTGGATTTGTATAAATACCCTTTGGGTGTTTTTTAGGGTTAAGAGCAAGGACGAATTTGAGCAGATTGAGAGAGTTTTCTTTGGGCTTCTATTCTAGGAGCAATTGGAGAGATTGAGAGTTGATTGTTGAGGGTTTATGAGAGATTTGTAACCCTAGTTTGTTCCTCTTGATTTCTAATAGTGAAAACTCCCCCCTCCTTGCCCCGTGGACGTAGGCATCTTGCCGAACCACGTAAAACTGGTGTTTGGTTGTTTGTGCTGTTGATTTTGGTTGGTTGTTTATCTTTCTTGGCGATTGTTTTGGTTTCTCGAAAAAATCTTTTTCCATTACAAATAGCCCATGGGATGAAAACCCATTAGAGTCATTCCTAAAATCTGAAAGTTTTCTTGCATTTACTACTTGATTAAATAGATTCTTTCTTATAAGTAGACACTATCTAAAATTATCCAATGTGATTACCATACCTCCATATTAAGAATAATTCTGAACTAATTATTAATCTATAAACATATTTTCGATTAATGGTGACACTCATTTAGATTTTTTGTATTATTAATTTTTCAATTTGAGTATGAGACTGAATTGGAAGATCCGGTTTTCGAATCTTTTTTTATTTAGTAACATTTAAAGTCTTTTATGTTTTTTATTAAGAGACCTTGAAATCTAATTTTAGACAAGGAAGAAAACAAAGGAGGAAGATCAACCAAGAGAAGAAGACTGGGATTGAGATTTCTAACTTTAATATAAAGATCAAATGCAATTTTAAGGATGACTCTAAATGATAAAAGAATAAGTAGCAAGACCAGGGTATTTTCATCATAGAATAATAAAATGAATTATTAACTAAGGTAGTCAAATAAATTTACCAAAAAAAGGTGGTCAATTTGATATGCTCATGTAAATTTAGGGGATTTTGTTGGATAACTAATAAGTACAGGATGTTTATTTTTAATTCTAGTGATTAATTTAGGTGGCTTTCTGAAATTTAACCATTCATTCAATGAAGATGGTAAAGGAGATTTCGTCTCATCTTTTAGTACCAACTCCAATCACCAAACCGCTGTACTGAAAACTAACAACTAGTGTTCTCTGTTTCCAGATGCTCAGAGAGCACACAATTCTCATGGTAACATTCACAACAAACATCAAGATTCAAACTGATTTTTACAGTACTATATATCAAATTTAACTATAAATATGCCTTCATTGGAGGTCTCCATTGATCACCGAGAGCTTGAAGGTTTTGAATGTGAGAGTTGCAGGAAACTGAACACGTTTACCACTTATAAACAGGTTCGGTTTCCTCCAACATCTCATCTTCAATGGCTTGACAGCTTCCCATAAACTAGAACTCTGTCTGTGGTTAATATTAGGCTTTGAATGTGAGGATTGGAGGCGATCAAATATAATTGCATGCATTTGAGCTCTCGGGGCAGGTAATTTTGCTTGGTTTCCTCCAATATCTCACCTTCAATTGCCCAATTGTTTGGGTAATAAAAAAATTCAGGTTTGGTGTTGAGAGTACTGAATGTGAGAATTGGAGGAAAATGAATGCATTTAAGCGCGCTATATTATGGTATTTTGTTTATACATGCGTGTCTTCAATTTCCTCCAATATCTCACCTTCAATTGTTCCCTCTGTGTACTTCAATATGGTAAGAATTGTTTACTCTGTCAAAGTTGTTTATAGGGAAATACATTTCGATGAAAATTTTACTTACTGTCCAACTAGAGATTTTGTGGACATACAAGCTATATACCATATCAATGATAACTATACTAAAAGTCCTAAGCAATAAACCTATTCTTTTTGTTTGAGGGTTCAAGTTTCATGCAAGTCCTCATGTACATCTGTATCCCTCCATTCTGGAGATAGTTATATTAATTTCCTTTTAATGAAACGTGGAGGAGCTATGCTTCACAGTTTTATTTAAACAAAATCAGCCAAAAATAGCAAGTGATATTTAGAACTTGACCCGCATTATAGATCGATATACTCCAGTACTATTCAACTAAATTTTTTACCTTGTTTCTTTGAATGTATCATGTTAACTCCTCACATTCCCTTGATTAAATGCTGATACATTATTTGCTTATTTTTCCGGCTCACCCTTTCTAGTGTTTTGATCTTTGAAACAAACTAAAACTTTATATGTTCAGAAAACACCGTGATGGCAAGACGTATCACAGGGATAAGGGCAATCAATCTTGTGAAAGGAGCTTCGATCATAAAACCAGTTCCCAACTGCCTTTGCAATTGTCTGCAAAAAGAAGATTCATACAGTTAGGGTAATATAATAAATAAATTGACCTGAAGAAGTAATTTCTGTTGAGAATTTAACAATTAACAAAAGGTATAATAAATATGAAAGGGTACTAAAAAAATCTGATGCCATGTGAAAATAAATAATACGTGAAAATGAATGACAAATTGTGCACAAAAATTTGAATCGTGCAATTTGAGTCGCAATGATCTGAAATTTACACGAAAACTATCTATATTTATTTGACAACTTGTGAAATTAAACGATTACAGAGCTTACAATATTATCGAGAACTGGAGAATCAGCTCCGAACCAAAGCTCTTGGTTCTCTGTCTGGCAGTGGTTATAGCATGAGTTTATGAATATTCCTTTGGATGAAGAGTTCCCGACTAATGAGAGTACATTCAGAAACTTTATCCTAAAATCTGTCAATGAACAATGAAGATTCTTTATGTAATTTTCTGCTCTGCATAATCTCCAAAATGCTGAACTATTAAAATTAGAAACAGCGCATAATTACCTTGAAATATTTGGAGTTGAATCGAAGAGCAATGGCGTATATCAAATTTGCAGTTATTCCAGGTACCATTAGGATCAGCAGTGTCTGGTATCCAAATGTTCCCTATCTGCAAGAGTACATAAAATAATTTGTATTATAGGGGGAAAAACATTTGATCTATGCTTATAACGGAAAATTATGTGGCATCAAAGTAATAGAGTACCAATCACAAACAACGAGATGTAAACATAGCTTCTTCTATAATGGTATAAATATTCATAGGAGAGAAAAGAAAAATCAAATGCAGAACTTGCCCTCTCATCAGCTCATTGATAGGCATACTTATACTAGAAGTTCACATCTTAGTATAGTTATGAAAAGAATTAGAAAGTAAGATCGATGCAGGCTAACTTGGTTCACAGCTCCAACGAATGGTCGAAATCAATAATCATATGAAAAGAATGTTGATAGATTATGTTAATAATCTTGTGAATCTTTATATTAATAGTATGTATATATTCTGTTGTAAATCATTCCGTAACTATAGCCTAATTGTAGCCTAAATTATAGCAATCCAGGATTGTATATATTGCAACAGAATAATGAGAATAAGCAACGGATTCAATTCTCTCATGGTATCAGACTAGGTTACGTCTCCTAGCCGCCTTCTTCTTCCTATCTCCTCTCTTCTCAATTATCTTCTTCATCTCCTTCGTGCCTTTTCCATGGCAGAATCCACCAAATTCCATCCGGCTTTAGCCGTGAACAATGTCAAAAACTTCATCTCCGTCACCCTTGACATGGAAAGTTCTCAATATAATTCTTGGGCCACGTTGTTCAAGATTCACGCACGAGCATATCAAGTTCTTGACCACATCATTCCATCCTCTTCGAAAAACAAAGGGAAGAAGACCTCCGACGAAGAAGATGACCCCGACCTCTGGGATCGTCTCGATGCTATAGTCCTTCAATGGATTTACGGCACCATCTCCAACGACGTTCTCCACACCATTCTTGAACAAGACATCACAGCCATGGAAGCTTGGAACCGCTTAGCCGACTTGTTCCATGACAACAAAACTGCCAGAGCTGTGCATCTTGAATATCAACTCTCTCAAGTCCGACTCGATGACTTTCCTAATGTCACTGCCTATTGTCAACGCATCAAAATGCTTGCCGATCAACTTGGGAACGTCGGGGTGCCTGTCTCCGATGCAAGGAAGGTGCTTGTGCTTTGTTCGGGTCTCAACGCGGCCTATCGTGGGGTAGGCAGGATCATTCAACACGGTAAGCCTCTCAAGTCTTTCTCTGATGCTCGTTCAACTCTTGTGATGGAGGAAGATTCTCTTAAGAACAGTGCGGCCCGGGAGTCTGACTCGGCTCTTCTTGCGGGTCACAACCCTCCCACCTTTGATGCTAATTCCGGCAGCTATCATGCCCCTCGCAACAACAACAATAATGGCGACAATCACCACCGCAACAACTATCACAAAAGGCACGGTGGTCGGGGTCGCGGCAATAATCACGGCAACAATAACAAAGGTCGAGGGGGAGGTCGTGGGCATAACCATGCTGGACGTGGCGGTGCACCACATCAACCGTCACAGTGGCCACCTGCCTGGCAGTATCCGGCGTGGGGAGGCTGGGCTCCACCTCCTTGGGCCATGCCTCCTTGCCCCTATCCTACAGCAGCTTCATGGCAGCCTCGTCCAAACTCTAAGAAGCCTGGCATTTTGGGTGCTCACCCTCAACAAGCACATCATGCCACTGCAATTCCTCCACAAGGTGATTATATGCCTACTGATGTTGACGCGGCTTTTCATACACTCTCTCTCAATCCCCCGGATGACAACAATTGGTACATGGACACCGGTGCCACCTCTCACATGACTTCGAATCAAGGTACTCTCTCGTCTTATTTTAATTTGAGCAAAAACCGTGGTATATTAGTCGGTAATGGTCATGAAATTCCAATTCACGGTTACGGTAGCACTGCTCTATCCCCTTCGAACCCCCCTTTGCATCTCAACAATGTCTTGCATGCTCCCAAACTCATTAAGAACCTAATTTCCGTTAGAAAATTCACTAAAGATAATTCTTGTTCTGTTGAGTTTGATCCGTTTGGGTTTTATGTGAAGGATTTACGAACGGGGAGGCACCTAATGAGATGTGAGAGCTCGGGAGATCTCTATCCCTTCACCAAAAATCGGGCCATTTCTGATTCCGCATTTACTGCTTCGTCTTCAAATTTGTGGCATAGCCGCTTAGGGCATCCCGGAGAAGCTGTTCTTAGTTCTCTTCGTAGTAACAATTTTATTCAATGTAATAAGGCCCGTGAATTTTGTCATTCTTGTCCTCTTGGAAAACATATGAAATTGCCATTCAAGAGTTCAACTTCTTTCACTTGCTTGCCTTTTGATATTGTTCACAGTGATTTATGGACTTCCCCCGTTTTAAGCTCTTCGGGACATAAATATTATGCTTTATTTTTGGATGATTATTCGAATTTTTTGTGGACATTTCCAATCTCAAATAAATCACAGGTTTATTTGATATTCCAAAAACTTCAAGCATATATTAGAACCCAATTTGAAAGAGAAATCAAAAACCTACAATGTGACAATGGGCGGGAGTATATAAATGGTCCTCTTAGAAGCCTCTGTGAATCTAGTGGTATGGATTTTCGTCTCTCATGCCCTCACACATCTCCTCAAAATGGAAAGTCCGAACGAAAAATTAAATCCATCAATAACATTGTACGGACTCTTCTTGCTCACTCTTCCATGCCACCCTCGTTTTGGCACCATGCTCTTCAAATGGCCACCTATCTCCTAAATGTCTTACCATCTAAGGTTTTGGGGTACAAGTCACCTACACAAATTCTCTACCAAAAAGATCCAACCTACTCTCATCTTCGGGTTTTCGGTTGCCTTTGCTATCCTCTCTTCCCTTCCTCTACCATCAACAAGCTTCAAGCTCGATCAACTCCTTGTGTTTTCTTAGGCTATCCGTCAAACCATCGGGGATACAAGTGCTATGACTTGTCAAGTAAGAAAATATTTATCTCACGACATGTTTTGTTTGAGGAAAATCAATTTCCTTTTGCAAATTTACATACCCCTACTGCCTCTTCTTACACCTTTTTGGATGACGACCCCTCTCCTTACTTGATCCAACACATTCAACATTCTTCCCAACTAAGGCCTGCTGCAGAGCCCATTTCCCCTGGCCCAAATCTGCCGCCCACCCTAAACAATCCCTCACCTGCCACGGCCCAGTCCGGGCAGCAGTCCACTAGCTCCATTCCTCCTACTGTCCAAGTAGTTGAGCCTACTGCCCCTTCTTCCGCAACGGCCCAGCCAGCACATTCTCCACCACGAGCCGAGCAGCCAGTTCGGCCCACTCCAGCTACCCGCATGTCCACTAGAAGTCAGCATGGGATTGTTAAGCCCAAAAGGCATTTTAACTTGAGTGTTTCTACTTCCCCTTCCATATCTCCACTTCCCAAAAATCCAATAAGTGCTATTCGTGACCTGAATTGGAAATTGGCTATGATGGATGAAATGGATGCTCTAATTAAAAATAAGACGTGGGAGTTAGTCCCCCGACCTGCTGATGTTAATATTATTCGTTCTATGTGGATTTTTCGTCACAAAAAGAAATCTAACGGTGATTTTGAGCGTCATAAGGCTCGTCTTGTAGGCGATGGACAATCTCAACAGGTGGGAGTGGATTGTGGTGAGACATTCAGTCCGGTTGTCAAACCGGCGACTATTCGGGCAGTGTTGAGCATCTCTTTATCACATTCTTGGCCCATCCATCAGTTGGATGTCAAGAATGCCTTCTTACATGGTAATCTCACTGAAACTGTCTATATGCACCAGCCCATGGGATTTAAAGATCCCAATCATCCAGATTATGTTTGTTTGTTGAAGAAATCTCTCTATGGCCTTAAACAAGCCCCACGGGCTTGGTACCAGCGATTTGCAGACTATGTTGCTACTATTGGTTTTTCTCACAGCAAGTCCGATCATTCTCTGTTTATTTTTCGTCAGGGCACTCAAACTGCATATATCTTATTGTATGTTGACGATATTATTCTCACTGCCTCTTCAGATGCTCTCCGAAGGTCCATTATGTCTCTCCTCAGTTCTGAATTTGATATGAAGGACTTAGGTCCTCTTAGTTTTTTTTTGGGCATTGAAGTGAAACGTCATTCAGGAGGTATTTTTCTCTCACAAAAGACATATGCTGAGGAGATACTTGATAGGGCAGGTATGACTTCTTGCAAGCCATGTCCTACACCCGTGGACACAAACCCGAAGCTCAGCACCTCCACCGGGTCCCCTTATGATGATCCAACTCAATACCGCAAACTTGCTGGTGCACTTCAATATCTCACATTCACTAGGCCCGACATCTCCTATGCGGTGCAACAAGTTTGTCTCCACATGCATGCTCCAAATGACAACCATATGGCCGCCCTCAAACGCATTTTGCGTTACATTCGAGGTACACTTGACCTTGGTTTGCATCTCTATAAATCATCGACAACCTCTCTTGTCACATATACAGATGCAGATTGGGGTGGATGCCCAGATACCCGAAGATCCACTTCGGGTTATTGTGTGTTTCTTGGAGACAACTTGATCTCTTGGTCCTCAAAACGTCAACCTACACTCTCCCGATCTAGTGCCGAAGCTGAATACCGGGGTGTTGCTAATGTTGTTTCCGAGTCTTGTTGGATTCGTAATCTCCTCTTAGAACTTCATTGTCCGCTCAACAAGGCCACATTGGTATATTGTGATAATGTTAGTGCCATTTATCTTTCGGGCAATCCTGTGCAACATCAACGCACTAAGCATATTGAAATGGATATTCACTTTGTTCGAGAAAAGGTCTCACGAGGTGAGGTACGTGTCCTTCATGTTCCGTCCCGTTATCAAATCGCCGACATCTTTACTAAAGGGCTTCCGCGCATACTCTTCAATGATTTTCGGGACAGTCTAAGCGTTCGTGAACCTCCCGTTTCGACTGCGGGGGTGTGATAGATTATGTTAATAATCTTGTGAATCTTTATATTAATAGTATGTATATATTCTGTTGTAAATCATTCCGTAACTATAGCCTAATTGTAGCCTAAATTATAGCAATCCAGGATTGTATATATTGCAACAGAATAATGAGAATAAGCAACGGATTCAATTCTCTCATGGTATCAGACTAGGTTACGTCTCCTAGCCGCCTTCTTCTTCCTATCTCCTCTCTTCTCAATTATCTTCTTCATCTCCTTCGTGCCTTTTCCATGGCAGAATCCACCAAATTCCATCCGGCTTTAGCCGTGAACAATGTCAAAAACTTCATCTCCGTCACCCTTGACATGGAAAGTTCTCAATATAATTCTTGGGCCACGTTGTTCAAGATTCACGCACGAGCATATCAAGTTCTTGACCACATCATTCCATCCTCTTCGAAAAACAAAGGGAAGAAGACCTCCGACGAAGAAGATGACCCCGACCTCTGGGATCGTCTCGATGCTATAGTCCTTCAATGGATTTACGGCACCATCTCCAACGACGTTCTCCACACCATTCTTGAACAAGACATCACAGCCATGGAAGCTTGGAACCGCTTAGCCGACTTGTTCCATGACAACAAAACTGCCAACGGCCTCCAAAGGCCCTCAATCAAATAGAAAAGTCTGCAACTCTTCTCCAATATCACCAAACGATCTGTAACTGATAGTATTCCCAATGATCCCAAATTGAGACAAATCAAACACCTCCACCTGAGGTAAACCAATGGCCATATCCAAACTATATCTACCAGCTGCAACTGAATCCAAAACAAATCCATCATCTGCATCCGAAATCAAATGATCCCCAACCTGTGTTACCTTAGCTGGAATCCTAAATGACGCAGTATGATCTGGAGTATGTGAAATAATCTCCACCCAACGTGGAGTAGCATCACTCTCCACCTGCTGCGATATCCAAATGACCTGAACAACACTCTCCACCTGCCGAGAGTCAAAAGTGACATACCTGCTCAGAACAGAATCAGAAGCTCCCAAACGATAATCAACTGAGCCTCCGAACCCCAAACGCGCAATCGGATCCAATCTCACATCCACGATGTGACCAAATGCTGGGTATCCAAATATCCGACGCGACCCAAAATCTGAAGCAGCTCCACCAGATCTAATAACTCCTAAAGCAGCAGTCGGCGACCTATGCATAAGATGACCCAAATATGTCGAAGCCCGCACACCAATGCCAATGCTCGACATCAAACGCCGATCCTCCTCCAGAAAGGAACGACCCATCGAAACTGTCATCTCATCTCGTCGCCCCAAAGTCTCCACACCAATGAAGTGTCTCCTATTGCCGTGAGCTCGGCACCAACGCAAGAAAGGACCCCTACCAAAGCTGAAACAATGAGTTACCTTTCTGCCAATACACTTCTTCCAATTGTTGTTGACTTCTAGGACTTTACACCAACGGGAACTGGTCGCGACCCAATAATGCCTAGAACAATCACCAACTGTGGAAACCAAGATACGATTACCTCCCAATGATGCCTCCTTGGAAGGCCCCCAAATGCCTGACTGAACACCTCCAAAAAGACCCCTCGCTCGATGGATAGAAGTGCCAAACTCCACCACGGTCTCGCTCATCCTAATGTGCTCACAGGACTTCAATCTGCAGGTCATAGCACTCCTCAACAACCAATGCACGGTATTACCAATCATATACCCCAGCACCAAACAATGCCACAGTCTAGCCGAATCTGATGAAGTCGTCATTTCCCTATCAATCACCGTGCTTCCGTGCAAATAATACAAATTTCTTCTTCTGACGCCCTTCATCACAATCATGGACCCAAATGTAACCTTCAAGCGTGCATCCGCCAAGGTCACCCTATAGCCAGCTGCCTCCAAAGCTCCAAGTGAAATGATGTTCTTCTTCAACTGAGGAACGAACCTCACTCCAACCAACTCCCGAATCACCCCGTCACTCATCCTGATCCGAACAGTACCAATACCACCAATAGAGCATTTGTGATCATTCCCCATGAGCACGAAATCCCCTCTTTCCAACTCCTGAAAGCTGGAGAACCAATCCCTCCTAGGGCAAATGTGGTATGTAGCACCCGAATCCAATATCCACTCTGTAGAGTAGGCAACACAAACTGACGGCAGTGCAGATAACGAGTAGCCCGAAGAATCCGAATCTGAATCGTTGCCACTAGCCTTGACAACATTCGCCTCTGAAGCTTGAATAGCTTTTCCCTTATTCTTCCCGGCTCGATCAACTAACTTTGGGCAATCGGCTTTCCAATGTCCATCTTCTTTGCAAAAGGCACATTGATTCTTACGAACTCCAAGATGTGCCCCTCTAGACTGCGACCTCCCACTACGGTTTGGACCCTTTGCTCTTGCGACCAACGCCCCCGCTACCGGCTCAAACGAAGTCTCCTTATCCTTCTTTCGAAGCTGATAATTCACAAGTGCAGCGGTGACCTCACTATACGAAAGAGATGCCTTCCCATTAATAAGAGTAAGAACGAAGGTCTCATATTCCTCGTCAGGCAAGGAACTCAATAGCAACAACGCCTTGTCCTCATCTTCAATCTTAACATCCACATTCGCCAAATCCGCAAGAAGCTTCGTGTAGTGGTTCATGTGATCACCAATGGAGGTTCCTTTCTTCAACTGGAAGCGGTAAAGCCTCCTCTTCAAATGCAAGCGATTCTCCACACTCTTGGTCAAATACTTGCTCTCAAGGATCTCCCAAATCTTCTTTGCAGAAGTCTCATTGATCACATCATACTTTAGATCTTGAGTGAGACAAGACCTAATCACACCACACGCCGTTCGATTCATCTTTTTCCAAACCTTCTCATCAATGTTGTCCGGTTTCCCGTCCAACTCCAACGTATCTTCCAAATTTTGCGCGTTGAGCGCATCCATGACTTCGCATCGCCAAAGTCCAAAATTGTTTGTGCCATTGAACTTTTCCACATCAATCTTCATTGAGTGGATATTCAAGCTTTGGACGGTCTTCACGCCGGAAGTACTGCCCACAACTCCTTCTTTCTCGGCCATAATCCTCAAGGCACCACCAAACCAATGCGGAAACAAACGAGAAATAGATCCAAACTGAAAAAGACGAGATTTTTACAAAAAAAGATCCCACCTTTATCACCAAACGAAGCCCTAGCTGAACTTCCAAAGCGATCTACTCCTCCAAAATAGCCCAAGCGTAGCCCGAGCTCTGATACCACTTGTTGTGACTGATGCTTTGAGAAACCAAACCAACGAACGCCGAGAGAAAGACCAAACAAAAAAAACACAAACACCAAGGTTTTACGTGGTTCGGCAAATTGCCTACGTCCACGGGGCAAGAAGGGGGTGGGTTTTCACTAATAGAGAAGGAGAGTACAAATTGAGATTACAAATCGCTCAAACGAACCAACTAATCTCACCAACAAATCTCTCAATCTCTCAACCAATAACCCTAACAAATAGCTCAGAAAGATCTCTCTTTTTCTGTGCTCCAAAACCCCAAAACTCTCCTTACAAAACCCTCAAATCGTATTGGTATTTATACCAAAACAGAAACCCAAACAGACTGCAAATAGGAACCTGAACTTTCCAAAAAACCCGTCATAAGTCGACTTATCAGTCTGCATAAGTCGACTTGGCAGAGCGAAAAACAGCAACTGGAGAAGAGATCATAAGTCGACTTATCAGACCTGATAAGTCGACTTGGCAGAGCAAAAAACCAACAATCCAGAGCAGAACGTAAGTCGACTCATGCACCAACATAAGTCGACTTACCATAAGTCGACTTATGCTTGTGCATGAGTCGACTTATGACCAAAAATCTGCTTTTTCCAATTCTTCTCCACAAAGAATAAGCACCTGCCATGTATCATAAGCTGGATTTAGCATGAACAAAGGCGTGTCTATCAGCGGTGCTGCGTACTGTGGGAAAAAACACTGCATTTGAACAGAACCTTGTCAGGGAGTTACTGGTTAATACTTCGGATTCTCTACAATCTTGATCGTATACAAATTCCACAATCTGTTGTGTAAAGCAATAATATCTCTTCTTTCAGTGGGTTCCACAATTATAATTTTTCTTATTTAGGTTCTTTGTATGGTAGTCCCTTAAATCTTTAGTATTTTTGAAATTAGTCCCTGAAACCATAGAAACTGCAATTCGGTTCCCCCAATTCCTAAGTTATTTGAAATTAATCAAATCATAGAAATTGCTATTAGGTCCTGCAATTCTTAGGTTATTTTGAAATTAGTCCCTCCGAAAGTAACAATTAGAGGAATTAATTCGAAAGAACTTATGAGAAATGGGGACCAACTAGCAATTTCAGTGATTTGAGGGACTAATTCATACTAACTTAAGAATCAGGGGACCTAATGGCAACTTCTATGATTTGAGGGACTAGTTCAAAATATGAAAGAACATAAGAAAACCCTTTGTACATGAAAAAATATCTTACACACGGTCCACAGGATAAAGAGAGAGTATTGGTTGATATGATAAATTTGTAGAAATTTCTCTATAATCAAGAATGCAGAAGAATCCTTATCACTGATTAAAGATTCTGAAAACTAGAGGAAGACACTTACCATGCCTGGTCCCAGATGAGAGATGCACGAAGAAGGTAAGCTCCTCACCGATCCCTACAACGACAACATAATCACTAATGATGTACATGTCGTAAGATATATTCATTAATAGAAGAATGGAAAATTTCATGACACACATTGGCCTATATTTGGTATCAAACATAGTAACATTTGTAAGTATTAATAAATATTTACATGTGTTTTCACCACATCATCGTAGAAGGCTTTGATGTGCTCTTTTCCAGTTATATCCTTCCTGATATGAGCAGCGAAAGAATAGCAATTCAGAATGGGAGCATATATAAGCCAGAAGTTTCTGGCTAGAGAAAATGGGATTTTACTTTTTCTCACATATATCTTACCATTGTTTCTGATGCAGCAATTTGTATTGTTTTCAGAGTGAACAGCAAAAAAAAAAAAAAAAAAAAAAAAAAAAAAAAAAAAAAAAAAAAAAAAAAAAATCAACAAGGGAAGAAAGATATGAAAACATTTTATTTCCATTATTCTTGACTTTTTTAGTTAATGGTCCCAATTTAAAAGGTTAGTACAAATAAGAGTGGGAAGAAATAAGAGTTGGACAAGAGTAATCACTAATTAGTTATTAACCTTAATCACTAAACCAAGATAGTCGTACAGATAATCATTTATTAAATGAGAAATGAGATTTTAAATCATTCTACAACTATACTCGTCATGTTCTTCTGGCTAAATGTAATCATATCATATACTTTGCATAGCAAGTGAAAAAAAAATATACCAAGACAGTAGAGTTTGCATCATAATATGCATCAACAAATGCACTAAAAAAATCAAATCATTCTAGTGAAAGAATACATGAAATGAACTTTCTATTGATCTCTTAACAGTTGTTAAAGCTGATAAGGTTACTTAAGGTGTAAGGTGTCTGTAGAATTGAATAGAAACCAGAAAAAATATATCAAATTTAAGGATGGACTAAGTGTTTATAACACTTGACACTATGATCTCCAGAACTTATTGAACTATTAGCTAACTTACACATTGATGAAATAACCGGCATCTGAAAGACATTTAACCTTAGCATCCTTAGGTAGAAACGCACGAAATCTATCACAATGTAGTATGGATGCCAATCCACCAGCCGAACATCCAGATAAAAGTGCCTGAACCCAAGAACATGTATAGTTATTTCGATAATTTTGCATTATAAGATGACTGACTATGAGATCAATAAAAGATCATCTTACATTGTTTGCATTTTTCAGTCCTTTTGCAAGCAGGTCTTCCATAATAGCAAGCCATATCCTCGCTCCTCTATAGTGAAGATCAGTAGCCTAATTAGACACCAAAGTGGAAAAATTAAATTAATACAAAGGAATTCTCTAGTAGGGATTTTTTTTTTTTTTTTTGACTTACAGGATCTACTCTCTCTACATCTCCAGTAAATGAAGAACCATCACAGTAGCGGATCAGGACCCTGTTCCAATTGTATAAATCTGCATATTGTGACAAAGAAAAAGTTAAGCAAGAAACAGGAAAATGTTGAGGAAGCTAGAAACATGGCTAATAATAGACAGGCTATCTTCTTATAATGATTGCCTTATCGCCTCTGCTCTTCATCTTAGTTAGCAATGTCTTTCATCTAAGGGTGCAATTGTATCAGATATATGGTACTTTTTATTGGAATATAAAAATATAACACTTAACCCTCATCAAAACTTTAGAGCTTTGGTGTAATGATTGGGGACTTTAACTTGGTATCAGAGCAACCCAGGTCTAAATCCCACTAGCCACAAAATTAAAGCATATTTTCTAAAAATTAACATCACTGCTTTTGTCCAGGTTTCGGCCTATAAAAAGACCCTCAACCTACAGGGGCATGTGAGAATATAAAAATATAACCCTCACCCTCACCAAAACGTCAGAATTCTGGTGTAATTATTAGGGACTTTAACACTTATCATATCCATATTCGCTCACTAATCACCGAGATGAATGCAAAAAAATAACATAGTTCAATAAGAAAAACCCATGATTCGTATCCGTCAAAATATGAAGACGGGTACAGATCATATAAGTGAAACACATATATGTATAAAATGTGGGTAAGAAAAAAACAAATAAGATTGAAGAGTATATAAATTACGTGATGCTTAAACTATTTAAATAAACCAAACTTGCTGGAATTAGAGTTTACAAATGCTCGTTCGACATATCTAAAAATCAAAGCTCAGATGTCTGGATGATCAAAATTAATCTTAGATCCAATAATCTAAGGTGGAAACAATTTCAAAACGCTGATAGAAACATTTATCCGGATACAAATACATATCCTTTGGTTCATATATATCTGAATTCTACCAAAATCTAAAACGCATATATCCCCAGATATTCATATCCTTTGGTTCATATAAGAAGTTGCAAAGCACAAAGCAGGTTAAGTTGGCCATTAAAGGAGGATATTCACCTCTGGAGTATGCAAATGGACATCTTATTTTTTGCAAATGGAAATATTGAGGAAAACTTGCCTCTTTAACAAGTTTTATTATACTACTTGAGAAATTTGATCAGATATGGCACTGACACTTGTTTTTTTACCTATCTTTCCTGTTCTGTATAACACCAAGGTCTCCTTCGGAGCCTTCTTTGTATTTTTTTTCATTATCCTCTCTTTAACTCGACATATATGGTTGAATTTCACTTCTCTTCACAAAAAAATCAAACTAATTTGATAATTACACCAAATAGAGAACTGATTGAATGGTACACATACCTGGATTAAATGATCGGTTGTTGCTTAAAATCGCAGAAAAGTTGAACTGTTTTTCCATTTTATTGGAAGACCCCAATCTTGTATCTTTGCGATCCAGACAGGTTGTAACATTATTGCACCATCCTCCCCCCTGACAATTAACTTCACTAAAACATTACACTGATAATTTAAATATAAGGAATCAAATGAGAACATAATCTACGAATACTTTGCAGCGAGCCCAAATGCGTATAATGCTAGAATAGACTATGATACCTCCATATGAACTAACCAATTATTCACCCCTGAACCGAACCCTGGAGATAGATGATAAGCTGGGGGACTTCCATCAAGACAAACTGTGATGAACACAACATGTGCTATCATTTGTTTAATATAGTACATAAATAACTTGCTAGTTAATTGGTTCATAGTGAGAGCCAATTGATCCATTAAANTAATCAGGTTTTAATGAAAGAAAATTGACCTGCTCCTTTCTCTATAGCACTCTCAAGATAAGTGATATCCACAATACATCCATCAGTATTGAGAAATGAAAGTATACAAATGAGAACAAAAGCCCGCGTACTCCTCCTAGCATCCACCATTTTTTTTAGTTTTCGGCTATTCGCTGTGTACTGATGAAGAAATGGAAATATGAACGAATGAGAAATCAAATATGTGACCAGATTCATCAAAGGATTAAGGTTTCAATGGGTAGAATGAAAGTTTGGATCATTTAACCAAAACTATGAATGTACAGAGAGAGAAGTATACCTTGGGAGTGAACTTGGTGATGGAGGAGATGTGGCGTATTCTTCAGAGATATATGATGATAAGGAAGGACATTAAAACTGAACCCCTTTGTTTTTATGTGAGCTGTTATATGTTTGTTTCTCACGTATGGTCCCTTGATGGAGAATTTTGTCTTTACATGTAACGTGAGGAAGGGAATAATTTACAGAGAAGTTTATCGCTCTTGTTGGCTGAGTGAAGGTTTTTAGCATATGTACCTGATATTTACAAATTTAGCCCCTAAATCATTATTATTTGCAACTTTATTCTCTATATCTTAATATTTACAAATTTGCCCCATAGTTTTCCATAAAGAAGTTTTTTACGATTCATTTGTTGGATTTGGGTGTGGATCCAAACCTCCGCAGGCGAGCTTGAGGCAAGATCAGGAGAGCTCGAGGAGCTTCAGGCGAGGTCCACGCGAAGCTGCAGGCGAGGCGAGCTCCTTCCGGCGAGGCGATCTCCTTCCGGCGAGGTCGAGCTCCTCCAGGCGAGCTCGAACGTTGTGCAAGCGAGCTCGAGATCAGGCGAGGTCGTCGGCGAGTTGCAGGTGAGCTCAAGGCTTGTGTCAGGCGAGCTCGAGGCTTGCGTCAGGCGAGCTCGAGCGGTGGAGCCTGTGAGCGTAGGCGAGCTCTGAGCGACAGACCTGTCGGCCAGGCTGTCTCTAGGTTTACTATACAAGGGAACCAGAGCTCGAGCATCGATAACGGGCTCTTCTCTCTCTCTCTCTTCTCTCTCTCTCTCTCATCTTCCTCTCCTCAACACGATCTCTCTTTTTGGCGCGGCGGCCCTCTCCTTTTTTCTCCTGCTCTTTCTCCAGCTCGATTTTGAGGGAGGATTCAAGAAGGGAATAGTTGATTTTGAGGGAGAGAATTAAAGAGGGGAATTGTTACTGTAGCTACAGTAACAATTAGCATTTATCGAGAGATCTCAAGTTTGAGATCTGCTCTTACATTGTAATTTTTTTGATTAATAAAAAAATTAATTGTGTGGCTCCCGAGAACGTAGGCAAGTTTGTCGAACCTCATAAATCTTGGTGTACTTTTCTCTATACTGTATTTTTTGTTGTTTCAAAGGTTTAGCGTAGCCCCGTGTATTCCCCAACATCATTTATTCTATTAAGAAGCAAGTTCAAGGGCATGTTAGGAAGAGGTTGACTCGCAAATACGGATGATGGAGAATTGGGTAGAAAAATACAATGTTGGAGAATCATGGGTAAATTTGCAAAATATGGGTGATTTGGGAGTTATATATGCAACAATTTATTGACATTGATTTCAGCATTTTATTGTGGTTATAAGGAAGATAAATGAACGAAGAGATGGGAAGTTAACAAAATTCTCTTCCCCTGTGGAAGAATTTTCAAATGAGAAAAATGATTTCTCCTAACTTTTCTTCTCCCTTATATTCCCTAAACTTTCATTTCCCCTTATTCCTCTTCACCCCTCTGAGAGAGAAACAGGCGAAAGGAAAGAGGGAAAATGTCTTGGGGTTCAACCTAAGTAATTGTTTGACGTATCATTTGCCAAGATTCTAAAATAAATGATAAAAAAACCTGCAATTTTAATCATAGCTAGACAGTAGTAAGCCGGTGTTCAACGTAAGTCCTATCATATTCCAATCCTGACCCCTAACACCGAGTCAAGCATCAGAAACAAAAAGAACAATATCTAATTATGTTAATCTAACAACAATATACTTATGGTAACCACAGTCATTAAAAAGTAATGTGTAGATAGTAATTAATGCATCATTTTTGTTTGGGTCAAAAATTGCTTTTTTCATTGAAGGCGAACTCATTACAATTTCAGCCATTACAATAAGTTCAAAAAAGAAAGAAAGTCGATCTTTTTATAAGATCTCCTTACATAATAAAAATAAAAATTATAACTTTGTCAAACAACATACAGCAGATGTTTATCACCTGCTGTTTGCGTGAGAACTGTGCCTGTGTCAGGGACGTTGATATCCGTGGACCGCCGGTGATCATATTTAGTTGACAAATTGATAATCAAAGCTCCTACTTCACGAAGGAAGTATTCGCAGAAGTGATAATACCGACCAAGCGAGATTACGACTCTTCTCGGGATTAAGACCAAGCTTAAATCCGGAGGAATGGGGGAAATAGGTCCCAGATCTCTCGAACTCTCTTTTTTTTATTGAGGAACCTCGTCAAGATCTGCTAACCCTCTGAAATTCGTGCTCCACTCTCCAATTTGACACACTTTGCCCTCTTGATTTCCCCACCCCGTGAAATGAGCCCCTAGGCCTGTATTTATAGGCTTCAGTTTGGGGGGTTTTCGGATAAGAATGATGGATTTGGCCTTATCCTCGGTTGACAATCGTGTAACCACATTTAAAGATAACATCTAGGCAGTTAGAAACCTCTGGAACAGAAGAAATCTTGTGAAAACTCGTCGAAAACCGTCAAAACGCGTTTTCGGATCGAATCTGGCTGAACGGGTGCGAAACAAACTGAACCGGTTCGGTTCAGGCGCGAACCACCATTTGGTGGCTCGGCCCATGGCCAAGCCTGGCCTGGCCGAGTCGTTTTGACGCGACTCGGCCGCCAGGGGCTTTCTCGGTATATTCGGTCTGGACTTGTTTCGCCCTTCTGCGTGCATTCAATCGTTTTGTTGACTTGTACACTTCGTTGATTCGCTTCATGTGTTTCGTGAACGCGCAAGTCGCTTGACGATGACCGATGGGCGTGCAGGCCACTTGGTTCACCGTTTCAGTGGCCGATGAGCGTACAGTTTACTTGGAGCTGGCTGATGAGTGCGCAAGCCACATAGAGGTGACCGGTGAGCGCACGGGCCACTTGGTTCACCGTTTCGGTAGTCGATAAGCGCGCATGCCACTTGGTTCGCCATTTCGTTGGCCGATGAGCGTGTAGGTCACTTGGCGGTGGCCGGTGAGCACGCGGGCCACTTGGCATTGGTCGTTTCGGTGGTTCTTCGCCACGTCATCAATGGTTCGGCGATTCGCTTCATACGTTTGTCGGCGTCAGATGATCCTCTTTGAATCGGATAATCCTCTTCAATTTGGATAATGACGTTCATCGTCTTCTCTTTGTCTCGAGCTGTGTGTGGATACCTATAGGCATTTTTAGACGCCTACAATTTTATCTGCCTATGCATTATTCATGACCTTCAAAATTCTATCCTTTGCATTCACCAATGTTGAGTAGTCTTTCATTCTTCTTTGGTCAACATCATACATTATTCATTTACTAGATTTTGTTCGCAAAGAAAACATTCGACCACGCTTTCATAAACACCCATATATAAAATACTCCTTGTGACTTATTTATAAACTCAATGTGACTTATTTATAAACCCAACCTATAGAATACCCATAGCTGTATATTGTATTTTCTAAAAAATTCTCAATCCCAAAATTACCCTTCTTCCCTAGATAAACCTAACGTTTTCCTCTCTTTCTCTCTTCCTTCATTTCACAAAACGCTAAACCTAGCACTATTAACTTTTGACAAGGAAAGTATAACAATTTACACAAAAGCGTAGCTTTTTATGTGAAAAAGTATAACATCACGTAAAGAAGTATAGCTTTTTATGACTAAAGTGTATTTCTAAATCAATGTGGTGTAGCTCTTTATTGGTTCTGGGACTACATAAAATAAATTAATAACGTGTAATATGACGTCAAGAAAATTGTTGAAAAAAAATAGAGGAAATTTTCATATCAATTGAACAAATTAATGTAGATATGTGAAAGCCTAATACCTATCAATTTTTAGCCAAGGAAAAAATAAAATTTTATTCGGAAACATGTCTTCTTATGAGAAAAGTATGGCACCATATATGAAAGTACGTATATTTAGACCTATCCATCCGGGCCGGCCTGGGCCGGGCAAAATCGGAGCCCGGACCCGGGTACCCCGGGCCGGGCTCCGGGTCGGCCCGGATTTTTTTTAATTTTTTTCTTTTCTTTTTTTTTATAAAAAATGCTAAAAATTAGTTTAAATTTATTATATTTTATATAATTATGTATTAGTATATACTTATAAATTATTATGTTCATATAGAGACATCAACTCATTCAGAGATCTCATTGATAATTTATCTCTTTATGACCTTCCCTTATCAGGTAGATCATATATTTGGTCTAATAAACGTCTATCTCCTTCTCTAGCAAGACTGGACAGGTTTCTTGTTAGCTCTGATTGGGACAAAAAATTTCCATCTTCCTTGCAATTTTCCCCTCCTGCTTTGGGCTCTGATCATTCCCCTATTGTTCTAGATAGTTCTGGTCTCCATCCTGCACCTCCTATTTTTAGATTCGAAAGAAGTTGGCTGCAGAATCCAAATTTCATTCCTTTCATTACTAGTTGCTGGAACTCCTTCAGGTGTCATGGAAGTCCTATAGATGTTTTCATTTCAAAACTCAATCTTACCAAAAGAAGAATAAAATGGTGGAAAAAAAATTGTCTTGGTTCTATTGCTTCTAGGAAAGATGAGCTTCTATCTAAAATCAACTCTCTTGATTTGTTGGAGGAACAAAGGCCTTTAACTGATTCAGAATTCCATGATAGGAAGTCTCTTCAATCCTCCTTCTCTTCTATTCTTCTAGAAGAAGAAACTTATTGGCATCAGAGATCGAGAATTCAATGGTTGAAGGAGGGTGATGCAAATACGGCTTTTTTCCATAAGACTGCTACTTTCCATAGGAATGCAAACTTCATTTCTTCCATTAATCATCAAGGAAAAGATCTGTCAAATGAAAAAGATATCTCCAATGCTTTTTGTGAATACTTCCTATCTATTTTTGGTAGGGATTCAAATTCTACCATAAGTATGAACTGGTCTCAGTTATATCCTCACGAAGATGTTAATCTTACCTCCTTAGAAGACACCTTCTCAGAAGATGAAATCAAAAAAGCAGTGTTTGGTATGAATGCCAACAAAGCTCAAGGCCCAGATGGTTTCTCTATGC